GCATTTATTTCCAAGTAGGCACTCTTAAGTTGGTACTGGATGTTTTGGGAAGCTTCAGTTCTTGTCCCTATGAACTATTCCACAGACCAGCTTGAATGACATGGTGGCTATCTTCAGAGCAAGAAATTTAAGACCAAGTTAGAAGCTACATGATTTCTATGTCATGAATGCCCCACACTTCACTTCCACAGCATTATATAGGTCACAAGGGTCAGCCATATTCAATGCAGGAGGGGGTTGTCCAAGGATGTAAATGCCAGGAAGTAGGAATCCCTGAAAGCCATCTTGAAGGCTGCCAACAATTATGTGTCTCCAGTGATTCATATTCTTCTCACATAGAAATGCCTTCATCTGCCCCCAGTGCCACAAAAGACTCAATCCTTTAATAGTATCAGCTCAAATTCCAGGGTCTTGTCACCTAAATCAAGTCTAGGCATGACTGATATTTTTGTGGTCTAGTTTCTGGAGAACACCTCCTAAAGTACAATTACCCCAGATCTGAAAACCTATGAACCAAGGAGACCTGAAATCTATCAACTTCCACCCTTCTCAAAAAACCTAACATAAAATGGTGGAATACACATAGGTTACCAGTATACACATTCCCACTGAAATAAGTGGAAAACTTTGAAGTCCACTAATTGGAATGTTGACAGTTCCTTAATTAGGACTCAAGACCAGAGAGTCATTCTCCAAGGCTCTGGACTCTACCCTCTGTTCTCATCTCTGCCTTCTTAATCATCCTTCCTTTGCTATGAACGGCAACCAATGTCTGCAGGTGAGTTTTGTTCAGTCCTTCTATTTGTAGATTTTGGTGATCCAAAGTCCTCTTTTCAGTTTTTACTATCTCTGACCTTTTAGTTAGTATAAGTTGGTGGTATTTTTTTCTAGTACAGTTTTATTTAAAACATTGCACTTACTCTAGCCACAAAATCCATGCCCCAAAATATATTTGAAACACTTCTTTTCTACCTTTGGCTTCTGCTGAGGCCCCCACAAAGTTGTTTGATTGAATAGCTCTCTGAGGAACCACCTTAGATCCTTCTGAGATCATAAAAACAAAGGGTTTTACTCATCATCTTGGCTTCAACATTACACAATGTTTTTCTGACAGTGACCTGGATTTTCTCTTTGATTGGAAGTTACCCCTTAATTTCAACATCATTTGTCATCTAGAGAGGCTAGGAATTCTCAAAACCAATAACTGTCTCCTTTATGTTCAACAGTACTTTCTTCTGCTTCTCTTTCTCCTCTCACATAAACTACATTTTACTTAAGGCAACAAGAAGCCAGGCAGTTCCTTCATCAACATGCAAAAAAATATCTTTCGCTCAACCAGTTCATTAGGTATGTGTTCCTTCTATTTTCCACATTACTGCAGGTGATGGTGTCGATAGACTTTCTATTGTTAAATAGCAGAGAGAGTTTTTCCTTCAGTTTTAAACAACAGTTCCTCACTTCCATTTAAACCTTCAGTGGCAGCCACCTCTGAGACCATCTGGCTTTGGCTAACAGCTTATTCTAGGCCTTTTGTGCCTTTACCAACACTCTCAAGATTCTTCCAGCTTCCCTTCACTTCCCAGTTCCAAAACTACTCCCACGTTATTAGTTATCTGTTATGGCAGCATCCTACTTCCAGGTACCAAATCTATTTATGTTTATTGCTGAGTAATAAATGACTAAAAACTAAGTGGCTTGAAGCAACAATAAATATTTACTTTTTATCATAGTTTCTGGCCTCAGAAATGCTCAACTAGGCATCTTTGACAAAATATTTTACATTTACAATGTTGGCAAGGGCTATAGTTATGTAATAGTTTGATCAAGATGAGAGAAGCCACTTTCAAAGTAGCTTACTCACAAGGCTGACAGTACTAATTGCTGGAGGAAGGAGCCTCTCTTCTGTTATTTAGGTGACTGCTTGAGTATCCTCACAAATTGGAAGCTGACTTCCCCAGAGTAAACAATCACTTTTGTGACTTAGCCCTGGAAGGCAGTCTGTCACTTGTGTAGTTTTTGACTGGTCATACAGTTAAGCCACACTCAAGGGCATGAAAATCAGAAGATGTGAGCCACTGAAGGTCATCTTGGAGGCTGTCTACCACCTTTTGTGACATAACCCAAGTTATATTCCTAGTTGCTGGAAGGGAATGTGGATTGTCTTGTGGGTCAGAGGCTACTGCATCATCTTCAAGAAAGAGAGAAAGAAATACTAGCCCCTAAATAGGGAGAGTGGGCCATTTCAGCAGGCTGAGGGTTTAGGAGAAATTGAAACTCAAGATTTTTGCATCTTAGATTTCCTATCCTATGTCTCCACGTTACATTCCTTCCCAATAAAGGCCCCTATTCTCCGGTGGCAGACCTGTTTAATTGGGAATTTATCCTTCTCTAGAGCTCTTCTGTTCTTATGTTTAAGTGTAGGACATTGTTCTCAGCTCCTTATGTTCTTTTGTTGCTGTAATAGAAAATCTCTGTATATGCTTCCTGGGAGTCTCACTAGATTTCAGCTAGCCTCTGATGGTTAATCATATACAGCCTTTCATTTTCCAACTCCAGTGTATCAGTTTCCCCAACAATAGACACTCACTCCCATAGTTCCTATAATTACTTTCCCCACATTTTCCAAATGCTTGACACATGACACCAAATGAGCTTTTTTTTTTCCTGAATACCATACCAATTCACCTTGTGTGAATGCTGTACTGCTTCCTTGTACCTGCATCTACCTCTCATCCTGCCATCTGCTTTCTCAGTCCACTTGGGTAGAGACAACCACCAGTGAAGTTATCTGGTAAGTACCCTGTAAGATACACCTTAGCATCCAGGAAGTGTATGTAAGATGGAAATTGGCATGCAGGAATGCTCTTGAGATCAGCACCTGTGCGCGAATAGGAAGAATGCAGATTTGGGAGAGAGAAAAGTTGGCTTGTAGTACAGTCACAACAAGATCAACCCCACAAGAAAATGGCTTCATTTTGTGTGAGGGGATTGTTCAGCTAATATACTTCATGGTGAAAAACAAAAAGCTTTTTCTGTAAGATCAGGAACAAGAAAAGGATGTTCACTTTCACCACATTTATTCAACATAGTACTGGAAATCCTAGCCAAAGCAATCAAACAACGGAAAGAAATAAAAGACATGCAAATTGAGGAGGAAGAAATAAAATTCTCACTTTCTGCAGATGACATGATTTTTAAATAGAAAACCTAAAGACCACACAAAAAAATATTAGAAACAATAAACAAATACAGTAATGTTGCAGAATACAAAATAAATGTACAAAAAGTCACTGCATTCATTCCTACATACTAACAAAAACATTTCAGAAAAACAAATGGAAAAAAAAAATTCCTTTTGTAATGGCAACAAAAATAAAATACCTAGAAATAAATTTAACAAAGGATGTGAAGGACCTATATGCTGCAAACTACAACGCATTATTAAAAGAGACTGAAGAAGACACAGAGAAATGCAAAAATATTTCATGTTTATGGATAAGAAGAATCAAGATAATAAAAATGTCCATTTTACCCAAAGCAATAGGCATATTTAATGCAATCCCCATCAATATCCCAATGGCATTTTTTTTAAAAGAAAAAGAACAAAAATTACTAGATCTGTATGGAACCACACACACACACACAAAAAAACACCTGAATAGCAAAGCAATCCTGAGGGAAAAACAAGTTTTGTATTTGGGTTGATATAACCAAAACAAAGACCTGCCTGTAGCACACTGGAGTATATACACCTCCAAAATTATTCTTAATTTACCTGGAAGAATCTGGGATTCCTGAAGCTGTGTGCTTAGGAGCTCAAATCAAGGTTAGGTATACCTTTAAGAGGCAATGTGATGCTAGTGAATATGCAGGATGTCTGACTACATGCCTGCAATTGATCCAGATCCAAGAGTCCCCCCTTGATTAACACTCTGACAGAGGAGATTACAGATACACAATGCAAAGCATTTGTGAACAGAAAGTAATCCCTGGCCAGTTTGGCTCAGCAGTTGGAGCATCAGCCTGTGGTCCGGAGAGACCCAGGTTATATTCCCACTAAGGGCACATACCTTGGTTGAAGCTTGTCCCTGTCCCTGGTTGGTCGTGCGAGTGGCAGCCACTAATGTGTCCATTTCACATCAATGTTTCTCTCTCTCTCTTCCTCTCTCTCCCTCCCACTCTATCTGAACAAAAAATGGAAAAATGTCCTAGACCAGAGATTTCCAACCTTTTCATCTCATGGCACACATAAACTAATTATTAAATTTTCCACAACACACACAAAAAAATACATATATTTTGCTGATCTGACAAAAAGTAGGTGTAATTTTGATTCGTTCACTCTGGATGTCTATTGTTGTGTACGCTGTTGTCATTTTTTTTTTATCCTCGCCCGAGGACATTTTTCCAGTTTTTGTTCAGATAGAGCGGGAGGGAGAGAGAGGAAGAGAGAAAGAGAAACATTGATGTGAAATGGACACAATGAGTGGCTGCCACTCGCACGACCAGCCAGGGACAGGGACAAGCTTCAACCAAGGTACGTGCCCTTAGCGGGAACATAACCTGGGTCTCTCCGGACCACAGGCTGACGCTCCAACTGCTGAGCCAAACTGGCCAGGGTTGTTGTCATTTTTTAATTTGAAAATCTAAGGGAGAAGAGGTCAGTGCTCCTGACTAAATAGATATTGCATGTTTTAAAAATTCTAGTGGCACACCAGTTGAAAATCGCTATTCTAGACTACTTTTTAAATGAGTGTAGTCATAGAAGACCACCATTATAGTTTACAGAAAACCTGACTTTATTCTGGAGGAAGGAAAAGTTTTTATTATGTACTGTATAAATTTCATTTATGTTAACTTTATCAAAGAAAATAAACAGAATGTCCCATAACCTTTTATTAGCATATGATCCTTTTCTTAGTATTTCTGGTAACAAACATTTACAGTGAACTGTAACCTGTATCAGTTTCATAAAGAAAAAGAGATCTCTGAAACAATACCTTGTACAAATGTTGGATCTGGATACCTGCCACCAAACCAGTAGGTTCAGCTTCAAAATACTTGGCTCTAATTGTCTCATACAATTGCCTTGATTCATTTTTTTCCTTAGATTTTTCCCTAAACCAGTGACAGTGCTAAAAAGGGAATAAAAATGTAATCACTGTAAAAACACTGAAAAAAAAAAAAAAAGCAGTAGAAAATAGTTTAGCCTCTTACCCTTTATGTTGAGATGGGCAGAAAATTTCTTGGGACTAAATTTTAGAACTAATTGGCTATCACTCGAATCTCCAAGGCATAAAAACAAATTACTTTATTTAAATAATAACTGTCCAGGAAAAACAAAGAAAATCACTCCAAAATGAGGTCATAGCAGAATGTATTATATCCCTTTTTGTCCTATCTTCTCTCGGCAATACATAAGCCAGTGATGATAAGGGAGAAGAGGAGGAGGGCAGGAAGAACATTTTGCTATGGTTCTAACTCTTAAGAAATGTGGGCTAAGCAAATGTGTAAGTGCCTACGTATGGAACAGAACAACTAAACCTCTCCTTGTTAGCATCTTAAGACCCCATCCTATGCTAATTTCTTTATACTGGAGTTCAGTCCCTTATGAAACACTTGGTAAAGTTTGGGGTTGCAGGCCATGATCTACAGATTATTTATATTTATATATAGTGGAGACTTTACAGTGTATTAGGAGAAGGCTAGTTAATTCATATGCCTAGAGTAATTAGAATGATTCACCTGACATATTGATTCAATTATAGACATTGTAAAATTAACTAATGATGCTTTTCATATACATTACAAAAGAGATCTATAAAGACTGTGGCCTCTCTTAATAACAGAAGCAGTACAACTCACCAGCAAAAAAAAGTTCCATGGCTTGGGCACACCGTACTCTCCTGGAAAGACTGCTTCTACATACCAGGCCACAAGGCCATACAAGAGAGCATCAAATAAAAACATTCCCAGTATGTGGACAAATGTAAATTTCTCCATTGTGGTTGATGAGAAGATGTTACTCCATTTAATTCCAATTCCTAAGAGATAACAGGAGACATTTAATTTAGGTGCCAACTGAGACAGAATTATTCATGTGCATCATAATTTAAGATTTAAAAAATGTTAATATTCTCTAGAGATTCCTATTCTATTCAGTTACTTTCTCATGCTGTTAGAATTTAGGACACCTGAGCAAGTAATCATGTAATAGGCCTCCTACAATGACAAAGACAAACAAATGATCAGCAATAGTGAAACAAAAATAAAATATACTAGAGTCAGGAAAATAAGCTTTAAAAAAATAAGCAGCCTTTGGGTTAACATAGTGGCTCCTCTCCCCACCCCGTTCTCATGCTAAATGTTCTTTGGCATTAAAATTTGGAAAAATATGGTCACTGAAAAGTAGAGTTGAATGCTAACTACAGAACACACTAGAGGGATTTCTGCACTAAGGAAAAAGGAAGACAGTTACTAAAAGAAGACCTGTGTCACTGCGTCTCGACCCCTAACAGCAGCCGGCAACTCCAAAAGGTGCAGGCAGAGATACCAGAAGCTGAGTAAACATGTGGAGGGATGTGCAGGCTCTTGCATGATAGGTAAAGGGATAAAGCAGTATGATTTTTTTTTTGAATGGCAGTTTAACAATATCAGTAATATTAAAACTGTGAATATCCTATGAGATCATGGCAACATTTACAAGGTTAATACTCACTGTCCACTTCTGCCTTGACGAGGAATTTAGTCCCCAGTACCATCACAATATTTGAGCTGAGGCAGGAAGCCAGCTTCTGGGTGAGGGTCATGTCTGCATACTTAGCAGAGACACTGACAGCTGGAAAGTAGGTGGCGAGGTAAATGAAACCTCCGAGAGATACAGCGAAGTGCACTGCCAATAAGAAGGAGATAAAAACGCCAATTTAAGCAATCTGAAAAAACCTGAAATGCAAACATCTGTGTTTAATTATAACAATGCACTACAATAAGCACATTGAGAACAGACACTGGTCTGCTTGGATCTCACCATTGCTTCTTCAGCACATTATAAAATGTTTGGCACTCAGTAAGTGCCAAATACATAATAGTATTTTTTGAATCAATAAAAGGTAAAAATTAAAACATTTAAAATACTATGAAAATTTACATATTTATTATCATTCAACATAAAATGTTATAAATATTATTATTAGCATAATCAGAAAATACGTAGATTTCCAGACACTGATGTTTGGTCTATGTCATTATGGGGGGAAAGAAGTCTGCCTACATAAACAGAGAGGTACAAAGTTGGTATCAAATAGCCAGATATGGTTTAGAGTATGAAGTGCTCAAAAAATGTGACTCTGATAATACATTAAAAAGAAAATTCTTGTTAAAAAATCAGTTAACGTCAGCTAGAGTTAAAATGCAGCATCCAAGCCCTGGCCGGTTTGGCTCAGCGGTTAGAGCGTCCGCCTGCGGTCCGGACAGGCCCGGGTTCGGTTCCCGCTAAGGGCATGTACCTCGGTTGCAGTTTGTCCCTGGCCCTGGTTGGCCGTGCGAGTGGCAGCCACTCGATGTGTCCCTTTCACATCGATGTTTCCCTCTCTCTCTCTTCCTCTCTCTCCCTCCCACTCTGTCTGTACAAAAAATGGAAAAATGTCCTCGGATGAGGATTAAAAAAAAAAAAAAATGCAGCATCCAAATAAAAACTGAATATTATGATGTAAAACATATTCTCCCATTATTAGGAGTGATTTTTCCTTCTTCCCCTTTTTTTCTTAATTCTCACCTGATAATATGTTTGTTTGTTTGTTTGTTTAGTTATTTATTTGTGAGAAAGGAAGGAGGAGCGAGATAGAGAGAAACATCAATGTGAGAAAATATAGCAGCAGAAATTAATGAAGTATAAAATGAATATATAGTTATGAGGATCAACAAAGCCAAAAGTTGATGTTTCACAAAGACTAATAATGCTAATAAATGTATTATGAAACTGATCAAGAAAAGGCACAAATGACCAGTATAAGGAATATATCATGACAGATAATTAGACATTAAAACAAGAAAACTGCTCTGGCCAGTTTGGCTCAGCGGTTAGAGCGTCGGCCTGCGGTCCTGAGAGACCCGGGTTCGGTTCCCGCTAGAGGCGCGTACCTCGGTTGCAGTTTGTCCCCGGCCCTGGTCGGTTGTGCGGGTGGCAGCCACTCGATGTGTCCCTTTCACATCGATGTTTCTCTCTCTCTCTCTGTTCCTCTCTTTCCCCCCACTCTACCTGAACAAAAAATGGAAAAATGTCCTCGGGCGAGGATAAAAAAAAAAAAAAAAAAACTTAAGAAAACTAAGTTAAAATAATAATACTGCACCAAAATTTTAAAAATTAAAAATATGAATTTAAGAAAACATAACTTACAAAATTGAAAAAACTAGAAAACCCGAATGTCCTATAGTCATTAAAAAAATTAAATCAAATTTCTTTTAAAAATCTGAATTAAAATCCATCCCAATAGTTTTTTCAGTAAGTTCTAGCAGATAGTCGAAGAAATAATAAGAATGTACTAAATTTTCCAGAGATTGAGACACAGAAAAGGAGAATATACTTCCCAAGTAATGTTATAAAACTATCATAACTTGATCTCAAAATCAAACAATGACAGTACAAAAATGGAAATTATAGGACAATTTCAGTCTTGAACATATTGGTAAGTCTTAAACTAAATACTCACAAACTTAATCCAGCATGTATACAAAGGAAAACACCTTGATATTTAAATTTAATCCAAAAATACCAGATTAGTATATTTAAAAATTAGTATTTACAATTCATATTGTTAATTGATTAAAGAAGAAATATAATTTTACCATCACAATAAATGCAAATAAAAGTACTGAATAAAATTCAACATCCTTACCAAAGATAAAATTCTTAAACACTAAATGAAAAAAATCTCTTTCAGCTGACAAAAGACATACTTACATACTTCAAAAGTTTCCAGCTAACATTATATTCCAAAAAGTTGTTCTGGACCTCAGCTTCAAAGTGGTCATGTTAGGGGTTTTCACCCACACCACCAAACAATCTCCAAGATACGAGCTGGGTGTCCCACAATGCAACTCAATCTAATATTACCCTGAGATAGCATCAGCTTCCACAGTTTAAGGATTCAGTCCTACAAGATTACTCTGCACTCCCCACCCCAACAATTTCAGATGTCAGTCACAAGTCCATGTTATCTCTTTTGCTTCTGCTAACTTTAGATCAGAGGTTCCAAGAACCTCTGCCCAAGCAGCTTACAGAACTCGAAGTGTCTTACTTATCAGATGACCAGTTTATTATAAAAGGACATGTCAGACTCATCTAGATGGAAGAGATGCATAGAACGAGGTATGGGGAAAAGGTAAGGAGCTTCCATGCCGAATACACAAATCTCCACATGTTCACCCAACCCAGAAGCTTTCCAACCCAGTATTTATGATAGTTTATAGAGGTTTCATTAAATAGGCATGACTGATTAAACCATTTTCCAGTGGTGACAGATTCAACCTCCAGCCCCCTCCCCTCTAATTACATGGGTCCTTAAGTAACCAGCACTCCCCATATTTAGGTGTTTTCCAACCAAACCAAAAGACATAACAAATGACACCTTTGTTGCTCTCATCACTCCAAAAATTAAAATGATTTTTGGAGCTATGTTCCAGGAAAGCTGAGAAAGTTTGTTACTAGTAGATAATGCCAAACAAGGTCATTCTTGCAACTGAATAAAAGAATATTAGATATTAACTCAAGGCCATATGAAGGAAAAAAAAGAAAGAAAGTACTCCAGTGAGGGTAACTGCATAGGTAAATATAAAAGCCAGAATTAGGGTATTTTTTGGTTTGTAACGCCTCTATTTCTTTCTATATGATTTAAAAGATAAATGCATAAAAATCATTATAAACATATGCTAATAGGTATAAAAACATAAAAATGTAATTTGTGAAAATACCAACATAGAAAGGAAATGGAGATTGACAGGAACAGAGTTTTTTTGTATATTAAAGCTGAACTGGTATTAAGAAAAATTTAATAGTTTAAAATGTTAATTTTAATCTCCAAATTATCCTCTAAAAAAAATGGAAAATATACAGAAAAAGAAATGAGAAGAAAGTCAAAATGGAGGATAAAAAGAACAATATAACATTTGTAAGTTGTTCATTATTACCAATTACTTTAAATGTATATGAGTTTAATTTTCCAACCAAAAAGTGAAGATGTCAAATGGACTTTCTTTTCTTTTGTTTTCAAACTTTAATAAGTTATTTTTTTATTTTTTCAATTATAGTTGACATACACAATTATATTAGTTTCAGGTGTACAGTCCAGTAATTAGACATTATATAACTTAATAAGTGATCATTTTGATAAATCTCATACCCACCTGACACCACAGAGTTATTAGAATATCACTGACTATATTCCCTATGATGTACTTTACATGCCCATAACTATTCTGTAACTACAAATTTGTACTTCTTGAAAGGTTAAAGACAAAGACAAAATCTTAAAAGCAGCAAGGGAAAAGCAGTTAGTTATCTACAAGGGAGATAACTGTCAGCTGTTTTTTCAACAGAAACTTTGCAGGCCATAAAGGATTTGCAAGAAATTAGTTTAAAGTGATGAAAAGCAAGAACTTACAACCAATCTTACTCTACCCAGCAAACCTATCATTTAGAATTGAAGGACAGCCCTGGACTGTTTGGTTCAGCGGTTAGTGTTGGCCTATGCACCAAAAGGTTGTGGGTTCGATTCCTGGTCAAGGGCATGTATTTGGGTTGCAGGTCCGATCCCTGGCCCCTATTTGGATCATGCAGGAGGCAACCAATCAGTATGTCTCTCTCACATAGATGTTTCTCTCTCTCCCCCTCTCCTTCTTTCCTCCCTTCCACTCTGTCCAATAACAACAACAAAAAATACCCTTGAGTGAGAATTAACAACAAAAAATAAATAAAAAAACATAGAATTGTCATATAAAGAGCTTCTCAGAAAAGAAAAAGCTGAAGGAATTCATCACCACCAAACAAGTATTACATGATATGTTAAAGGGTCTGGGAGAGGAAGAAGGGGAAGGGGGAGAGGAAGAAAAAAAAAAAAAAAACCCAGAAGGGACTTTTAAAAATAAATGATCTCCAGTAATCCAAGATGGTGGAAAAGTCAGTGGAAGGTACACTAATCTCTTCTCTGTACCTGAAACTGGAATTACAACTAAAATATAAAACAATCACCTTAATAACCAACTGAGGACTAGCTGAAGAGAAGTCTTATAAGCAAGGAGTTACAGAATTCACATCGAGACTGGTAGGAAAGGCAGAGATGAGAAAAGAACTGGTCAAGCTCTCATGAGGGGCAGCTGAGATTCCCAAAAGATACCCCACATGCAAATGTTCTCCCTAAAGAGAAAAGGGTCCCAATCCCACACTGGGCTCCTCACCCCAGGGCACCACAGTTGGGAAGAGGCATGTATATACTATCTGGAGAAACCCAGGGGCCCTCTTAAAGTGTCAATGCACAAAATCTCATTTGCATACACTTAACTTAGGCTCTGGCAAAGGGAGGGCAAAGCAGACTAGTCATGTGAGGAAAGACTGGAATTTGCGGCTCCTGGGAGAGAGCCGAAGAGACAGCTGCCGGGAAACCTGGGCTGAGACCCTCTCCCACACTGCAGATGCCATCTTTCTTGCATAGAACACTTCCTGCTTACAGCATCAGCCTGAGGGAATGCAATAACCCCACCCTCTGGACTCCCTGTCCCTCTACACTGTGGAGCTTCTTCCCTGCTGAGGAGACAGCTGCCTAGGCCAGAGTACAGAAGTCCAGGCAGTTCAGTGACTAAGTTTTGTGGCTTTGGGATAATGGATATTCCCAAACTTTC